GTGTTTACTCTACAATTCTCTTGTGAGGTTTAGAGTAAGAGTGTTAGAGGTGTGAGTTCCACGTTTGACAATTGGTATCAAGAGTCAGCAATGATGGTAAGCAACAAAGAATTAAAAACCCATGTGGAAACTTTAGAAAAGTTGGTAATAGATTCTTAAACAGAGACAAAGAACTCCATTGCGGACTTAAAGAAATTGATTTCTAACTTTATTCAAGGTACTCCTTTCAAGAAGTCGAATGAAATGGAGGAGGAAAACACCGACACATTAATCGTTGTCAATTCTGTAATTGATCATACACATATCTAATTTCTGTCCTTCGATGGTTCCAATTTTCATCAAGGGCGAGCCAAAGCTGTTTAGTTTTTTGAATTAGAAAACACTCTTGAAGACCAGCGAGGCAAACTACTATTATTGTCCATAGATATAGCAAGGCCTTCTCATGGCAGAGGCACTTCTTCAAAATCCAGGCTTCAAAGCACGTTCTTGGTGGCAAAAATTGGCAGATATGGGCAATCATTTCAATGTCGGCACTTATGATCCAGTTACTGAGATTTCACGATTGAAACAAGAGGATAGTTTGGGAGATTATTTGGAATGATTTGATGATCTTTTGACACGGATATCAATCTCCAAAGAGATGGCCATTAGTTTCTTCCTTGCTGGGTTACAAAATCAATTAGACAAAGTTGTTCGTGTTCATTGTCCAAGAACCCTTCAAGAAGCAGTCTGGTTAGCACGATTACAGGACGACATTATGCAAGAACTAGACAAGAAATTCTCTCTAGTCAAGTCTGTTAAGTCGAATACAAGAAATCCTGGCACGCGATCATGGTCCGGATCTAGTAGCAGTTTTTGATTCTCACCAATCACTAGTCTCGATCCTACTCAATCAAATTATGCTACTCCTTCAGAAAATAAAACCAACAACAGAGCTAGTACAGCCTCTTCTATCAACAAAAAAGTAGCTAGTGAAAGGAAAGCAAAAGGTCTATGTCAGTTTTGTGGGGAGAATTGGGACAAGAATCATAGAAATCATTGTAAAGTATGGGGTAAATTACCTGTAATTTTTGCTGCTCAAGTGGACACGGTAGCCAAAACAGATAGTGATGAAGATGGTGAGGTAACTGATGAGACTTTCATCAATAAAGGATTAGCTTTATTGCAGAAGAACAATGTACATATCTCCTTACATGCATTAAAAGGCCGGTGGACACACCCTACAGTTGAGAGGATTAATTAAAAAGCAGGAAATTCCCTCCTTCCTCATGGATACTGGCAGTACACACAATTTCATCAGTGAGCAATGGGCCAAATCATTGGGATTGAAGACTCAATTTATCAAAGACTTTCCAATTGCAGTTGCTAATGAGAAAAAAATATTGATTACAAAAAAATACAATGAAGTGGAATGGTCCTTTAAGAATCACAAGTTTACAACTGATTTCTTGATATTTTCGGGAGCAACTTTTGGTGCCATCTTAGGAATGCAATCGTTTAGAACTCTGAGAGAAATATCATGGAATTGTGCGAGCTTGACCATGAAGTTTGCACATGAAGGAGACCGAGTGGGGTTAGAAGGCGAACATCCTTCAAAGGCCATCCACAGGTTAGAAGGTAAACTGAAAGCGATACAGTGCCAAACCATGCTGCTTCCTATGACTGAACCTAGCTGTTTTACCTTGACAGTAAACTCATAAAATGATGAGCTCACTCCTAAACAGCAATCCGAGTTACAATAACTTCTAGAATCTCACGAGCAGCTATTTTTAGAGCCATCTAACTTGCCACCTCGAAGAAGATATGATCATCAGATCATTCTCAAAGATGACACACCTATGTGCTTAAAACCATACAGATATCCATATATGCAGAAAGTTGAAATTGAAAGGCAGGTTAACACCATGTTGAATACCGGGGTCATCAGAGATAGTAGCAGTGCTTACGTTTCTCCGGTTGTTTTGATAAAGAAAAAAGATGGTACTTGGAGATTCTGTACAGATTTCAGGAGACTTAATGAATTAATAGTTAAAAATAAGTTTCCAATTTCCTGAATAGAAGATTTATTGGATGAATTGCATGGAGCAAGATACTTTTCCAAGTTAGACTTAAGAAGTGGGTATAATCAGGTGCGGATGGCTGAGACAGACATACATAAAATGGCATTTAGGACACACTCAGGTCATTATGAATGGGTGGTTCTACCATTTGGCTTAAGTAATGCATTAGTAGCATTCCAAAATCTGATGAATGACATTTTACGAGACCATTTAAGGAAATTCATTTTAGTCTTCTTTGATGATATCCTTGTTTACACACAAGGCTAGTCGGATCACTTAGCTTGCTTGGATTCCACACTTAAGATTTTACAGCAACATTCCCTGGCTTTAAATCAAAAGAAATGCAGTTTTGGACAAACAAGAATCGATTATTTAGGCCATGTAATCTCTCAAAAAGGAGTGGAACCTGATCCACTCAAACTAGATGCTATTAAGCAATGGCCTCGACCTAAATCAGTTAAAGAAGTTAGAGGTTTTTTAGGTTTATCTGGATATTACAAACGATTCATTACTAACTATGGTAAGTTAGCTTTACTGTTGACTACATTATTACAAAAAGAATCAACATTTGCCTGAAGTCAACTGGAAGAAGAAGCTTTCCAATTATTGAAGACAACTTTAACGACTGCACCTGTTTTGGCACTACCCGACTTCAATCTTCCTTTCACCATTGAGACAGAAGCATCAGGTCAAGGGATTGGTGCAGTACTGTTACAGAGAAATCATCCTATTACTTATATCAGCAAAATCATAGGGAAGAAGTTCCAACTCATGTCAGCTTATGAAAAGGAATTCTATGCAATTTTGTTTACTGTGAAGAAATGGCAACATTACTTCTTAGGTCACCACTTCATCATCAAGACTGATCAACAGGCATTAAAACACTTATTACAACAACCACCCATAACTTCAATGCAAAATTGGGGCTTAGAGAAATTAATGGGACTAGATTTTGAAATTCAATACAAGAGAGGCAAGGAGAATATGGTGGCATATTGCTTATCTAGGAGGGAATCTACAGGAAGCTTAAAAGCAATTTTCCAAATTGCATCTCCGCTAGTTGAAGAAGTGAAAGCAACTTGGCAAGCTAATCCAAAAGCAAAAAAGATCATTGACAAAATAACTCTTTCCCAGCAACCTTACAAAAACTTTAGTTGGGATGACAAACTCTTAAAGAGGAAAGGCAAATTAGTGGTTGGTGCAGATAAGCAAGTTAGAATCAAACTTCTGCAACATTTTCATGATTCAATTGTTGGTGGACATTCGGGTATGGAGCAAACCTACAAAAGGATCAAGGAATTTTTTTATTGGAAAGGTCTGCAAAAGGCCATAAAGAGATGGGTTCAAGAATGCAACATATGCCAACAATTCAAACCTTTGCTTACGCATCTAGGGGGGTTACCGCAACCATTGCCTATTTCAGAGAGAGCTTAACAAAGCATTTCTATGGATTTTATTGCCGGGTTACCAAAGTCAAAATGCATGAGTGTCATATTGGTGGTCTTTGATAGATATACTAAATATGCTCATTTCCTAGCCTTAAAGCATCCTTATGGAGCTGCTACAGTGGCGCAAGTATTTATGGATTCAGTAGTGAAATTACATGGATGGCCCAACCAAATAATTTTGGATAGAGATCCTATTTTTATAAGCAATTTCTGGAAAGAGTTATTCAAGCATCATGACATCCAATTACTAAAATCTATTGCTGTCCACCTTCAGACAGATGGTCAGAGTGAGGCCTTGAATAAGGTTTTGGAAGGTTACTTGCGATGCATCGCATGAGACACTCCTAAAGATTAGTATTCTTACTTGTCTTTAGATGAGCTATGGTATAATTTCAAATTTCATTCAGCAGCAGGCATGACTCCATTTGAGGCTCTTTATGGTTACCCCCCATCACCAACTTATGCCATGCCAACTAAATCCTTGGTCAAAGCTGTGAATCATATCATCAGAACTAGAGAAGAAATCAACTCCTTGCTCAAGTAGCATTTAATTTAGGCATAAGAGAAAATGAAGTTTTTTGCAAACTTAAAAAGAATCGACAAGGAGTTCCAATGTGGGGACATGGTGTATCTCAAATTACAACCTTATAGCCAGCATTCAGTAGCAAATTCTTCTTTCTATAAACTATCTGCAAGATATTATGGCTCCTTCAAAGTCATGGAATGGATAGGCAAGGTGGCATATAAGCTGGAATTTTCTACTAGATCAAAAATCTATAATGTATTTCATGTGTCCCTCTTGAAGAAGCACATAGGTACACATACAGTGGATTGTCACCTCCCTAAATTCAATGACGATGGCAAGTTAACAGTGCAGCCTTTAGTCGTATTGGACCAAAGAATGAAGAAGAAAGTTGATAGAGCAGTGACAGAAGTATTGGTTCAATGGGAACATAAAAGTCCGAAAAATGCACTTTGGTAGGAACTTCATGTTCTTAAACAGAAATATCCAGATTTTGATTGATATGCTACTTTTGATGGCTTCGAGGACTAAGCCATTTTTGCAGGGAGGAAGTTGTTATAAGTGTTTTAGATAAGACTATTAGTTATAATTAGTTTTCTATTAATGTTAGTTATTTTGTTTTATTTTATTAAAAGATAAAGATAGACTTAGTTATTAAGGAATAAGGATTATAACACCCTAATTTAATTAAAGGGGAAGAGTGAGTGTGTTGGAGGTGTGCTTTGACATGTGTTGTAGATTAGCTCCATTTTGAGTGCCGTTTTAAGGTTGGACTCTTTTGAGATTGACTTTTTCAAGCCTTTTGTTTAGGCTACGTTTGTTTTCTTGGGCCTCGTACAAAAAAAAAGGCCCAAACTTCATTTTGTATTGACTTGGCTGACCAAAACATTCTTTCAAGCGAATCAAGCCCACAATGCCAACTTTTCTTTCGTCTACTTCGTCTATAAGCAACACTTTCCACCATGCCACACAAACACTCATATTCTGCTACATACGTACTACTGTTGAGTCATGGCTTCTCCTTCTACATTCTTCACTCTCATTCTCACTCTCTTCCTCCTCTCACTGCACGGTATTTAACTCTAACAAAATCATCATTTCATTTCTCACCCCTTTTTTAGTTTTTTCAATTTTCACACTTTTATTTCTTTTTTTATTACTGTTTATTCTTTTTTTTTTCTTTTTTAGTTGACGCTAAAGAATTGATCATTCCCGAAGACGGTTACACCGTCAGCACCGTATTGGAGGGGCACAAGGCTCACATCAACCCCTTCACCGTTCTCCAACGACCCGGTTCCTCAGATCTCGTTCTTCTCGATTCCGTGAACAGCACTTTCTACACAGTGCAGTTTCCAATTTCCCAAGGTTTTTTTTCTTCTAATATATTGTTGGGTGTGCCAAAGTTTCGATTTTTCGTATACTATATGTGGTTATTCGTCGTTTTTCTGTGGCAGAAAGCGTTTTGAGTAGGTTTTCTGGAGATGGGTCTGTGGGGTATTGGGATGGTGATGTGGCTTTGGCTCGGTTCGCCAAACCCAAAAGCTTTGCCTTTGATCTGAGAGGGAATATGTATGTTGCTGACAAGTTTAACCATGCTATAAGGAAAATCAGCTCCAGGGGTATGTTTGTAAATAATTCTGCATAGTTTGGACTGCATAATATGGCTTCAAAATGCTTCTGTTTTGTTTTTGGGAACATAGTTACATGGGAAGAATGAGTGAGTGTGTGTGTGTGTGTGTGTGTGAGAGAGAGAGAGAGAGAGAGAGATGGAGAAAGTGGAAAAGAATGATAGGAAAACCAACCAATTCTGCATGCAAATTGTTGATCATAGTGGCCTTCAGTTTTTGCTTTGACTTAAGGTATGTTTAGGAATTGTTTGGGAAGTAGGGATTTGGAAGGGATGGGAGGGTTAAATTTTTATTTTAAATAAATTTATTTAAATTTGATGAAATTTCAAAACTAAAGATATACAATGATGGATTATCATAAACACGTTGTTTTAATCAGTTATTGATTATCATAAATGTCATATAATTGTATTAGTTTTAAAATAAGAAATTTGCCCTTCCCTCTCTTTCCCTCCATAAATATTCTATTTGTATTTTGACGGGGAAGAGAGGGTAAATATTTTATTTCTTATAAATATTCTTTAATGTCATAATTTTTAAAAATAAAAGAGATAATTTGATAAATTAGAATAAACTTGTTGTGTGTTTGGATTCACGTCAAATTCATTCAAGTGTATCAATTTCAATTTTCAACGATACAAGTTATAGCTTTCACGTTGAAATGTGATTTTAATCGATTTCCAAACATCAACGTATTAATCTTTTACTTTTATAAATATTATATAACTTTCTTAATTTAAAAATAAAATATTTGCTCTTCTTTTGCTTTCCCTAGTAAACACAAATTTCCAAACATACCCTTAGAATAGCTTGATGATTGTTCTTGAATCCAAGGATGGGCCAGTGAATCTTGTACCAACCTTAGATGGCTCTGTTGTGTTGGTTGTTATCAGGAAGTAATGAACATTCCCTGTGTTTGGTTTGGTGTTGACTAGGTGTCACAACAATTGCTGGAGGAGGGTTCTCAGAAAAGTCAAGCGGAAAGGATGGACCTGCACTCAATGCATCGTTTTCAAATGATTTTGACCTGACTTTCATTCCTGGTCTGTGTTCTTTATTGGTGTCAGATCATATGCATCAATTGGTCCGTCAGATTAATTTGAAGGAGGAGGATTGTACCTTTGGTTCTAAATCTGGTGAAATTTTAGAATTTGGGGCATGTTTATATCTGCCATTGTATGATATAGTCATTTATTTTTCACATTTGTGTTGTTTAAGTTTTATTAACCATTCTTTTTAGGTTAAACTTTAAGTCATCTCTAACTAAATCAATCTTACACAAATTAATAGGTTTGTGGCATGAACATTTCACTAATCCATCATTGCTGTGATTGATTGCCTTGAAATTTGCTTTGAATCATGTTCTTAAAGAGTGAAAATCCAACTTCATGGAAATTAATATCATGCTAATAAAAATTATAATAATGATTACATTTAATTCAGTGGCTATTTGATGTATATAAAGATGGGTGTGTATAGTTGCTCAATTGTTTGGAATTTGGGAACAAATAGACAGAATGAAACCCAGTGGGGACCAATGCCTCATTTTCACTTTTGATGTGGGACTTTTCTCACTGCATTGTGGCAAACAAGTGGACACCTCTTAACCTCATCTATATTTTGCACAATTCCAAAAACAACCTTGATTAAAACTTTTCTCTTCCACCTGGGGGTATTTTTGCATTTTCTGCTGTTCTTAAATAAAACACATAATATCCACCCTGTTCATACTTATTCTCTCTATTAAACTTAAACCCCCATCATACTTAACTGCTTGGGCTGAAGGGTTTTTCTTTTAGTCTATTCATTTGGTTTTCCCATGATTCTTGTTGATGATTCATTTCAAAACAATGCAAATTTAAATTTTTTTCTTCCATTGGGTTTCATCTGTACTGTTGTTCTTGGAGTGAGGGTTCCTCATAACTCATCATGGATGCAAGGGCTTTATCTAAATGCCCCCTTACTCAAATTTTCCCTTACCCTTTATCTACCTATAAACAATGATTCAATTATGATTAAAGAAAAGAAAAAACTCTGCTTTGTCCAGGGCTTGGTGCAGTTATGACTTGGACTCTCGGATTAGGACTTTCATGTTTACTGGGCATTGTAATTGGGATTCTGGTGCGCCCTTACATCATCCCTAATGTAAGTTCCACTCAACTACTTGTGAAGATTATATATGGAAAAGATTTCACTTAGACTTTGTATAACTGCACTGTGTAGACAGAAAGGCTCCAACCGTTGCCATTTCATCGAGACATGGAAGCATTACCTAACCAATCTGGGGAAGCTACTACTGACACTCTTCTTCGGCAGCAAAAGCGCAGTTGCTAACTTTAGTTGCTCTTATGTTTGCACAATCCTGATGAAACTTTGGAGATTGAGTCTCTCTCATCTTCTTTTCATGTTTAGAATAAACATAGTTTCTCCAAGGCCACATCTGGAATCTGTCTCTTTGCTAGATTTAGATGCCTGCAATAGTGGTGAGATAACAAAGTCAAGTAAGTATTATGACCAATTGAAGGATTTGATGAGTTTTGATGAAGAATTTCTGGATTCAAATAAGGCAACCTTCAACCAAAGAAATGATAGTAGAGGAAGGAGTGCTGTGTGCCATGAAGCTGATGTTATGATGAAGGCTAACATGGGCATGGCACAGGTACCTAAAGATGACATTCTTTATCAAGAATCGTCTGTGTGTAATTTGGGTATTGTGAAGAGGAGATGAAGTTATTTGTAAAGAACTATGACATTGATGAGTAACTGGTATGTATATATTTATTTTGATATTTGAAGAACTCAATATTGACGCTGCATGTTATATTAGAAGAATGTGAGTAATAGTCTCGGATACAATTTTTTAACACACACTTAGGATATGTTTGATTTGTATTGAATTTTATTTTAAAAGACAGAAAACTGTTTTTAAAAAGAGAAACAAACACTCTTAATTATTGGTGAAAATATATTGAAAACAACAAAATTATATGAATCTTGCTCTTTCTCATGCCTAAAGCTTTATTTGAGAGTTTCGAGAAAAAGAAAAGAATTGAATTTGAAAGGTAAGGGAAGAGAGAGAAAGAATGCAGACTAATATAAAATTTTTTAGATTAAAAAATGTGATTATGAGAGTTTTGAAGAGTTTATAAACTTTTTTTTTATTTAAATAACCAAATTTTAAATAATTTAAATTAATGTTTTATATTTTTGTAATTTTTAATAAATTTTAATAATAATTAAAAGTGTTAAAAGAAGGGTAGAAAAGAGTATGTTATTAACATTTGTTATATTTTTTAAATTTTTTATAAGAAGTTTTTTTTTTAAAAAAATTTGGTTCTTAATATAAATGTTTTTTATGAAGTTGCAGGAACATTTATTTATTATTTTAGTGTGCGTAATTTAGTTGAAATAATCTTAAAAAGAGAACAGGAAGAAAAAAGCATAATTATTTTTATTTCTTATTTATTTATTTATTTATTTTGTATAGATTTGTATTTAAAAACTAATAAAGGAAATTGGAATCTGTAGCATCCTTATTTAGCCTGTTTTTTCATCCAACAGTGACCGTGAAAATTATTGATCGTGGAACTTGGAATTAAAAACTAGTCCATCCTAAAACTATTATGTTATCTTGTTGGAGAATGTTCGTTGTAATGATAAATAAATTTCTATTTTGACCCACTTTAGTTTAGCTTAAGTGGTGAGAGTGTGAAGTTGACTAGTTGAGTAGGTCGGTGCATGGAGAAGGAAATTAGTAAATATTGTATAAAATTTTTCTTCATATAAATTAAATTATTTAAAACTATTATAGTAGTATGTATAAATAATGTAGATAAATGAGTAATATATATTTATATATATATATATATATATATATATATGAGTAGTTAAAATTTAAGAAGAAAAGAATAGATTTTGAAAAATTAAAACAAATTAGTTTAAAATTATAAATAACTAAGGTTTAAGATAATAAAAATTATAATTAAAAAATTTAACGTGGTTAAATTTAGATTTAAGATTGAAAAAGAAAACTTAAAAAGTTTTTAAAATAAGTTGTTTAATTTTAAAAAAAATAATTAATAATAACCTTTTTCGTTTAAAAATTTTAAGAGAACGGAAAGAAATAGTTTAAAAGTTAAGGAAAGAGAAGGTAAAAAAAGAGTAAGGAAGATTAATATAAAATCTTCTAAATTATAAAAATATAAAAATTATATAATTATGAGAGCTTTAAAAGGTTTATAATTTTTTTTTATTTAAAAACTCTCAAATAAAAATAATTGTCGTGTAAGTGTTTATTTTCTTTTAAAAATTAAATTTAAAAAAAGTTAAAAAAATAAAAATTATTTTTGTTTAAAATAAATATTTAATGTTCTAGTATAATTTCTTTTAATGAGAATCAAAATTTTAGTAAGATTAATTATATAAATTTAGGTGCTAATTTTTTTATCAAACAAGGTTAAAAAATTTAAAGTAAACTAAAGTAAGATTAATTATATAAGAGACTTCTTTTCTTAAAAAAATAAAATAAAAAATTAATACTTACTTTAGAAAAATATAATCTCCTTACTCATAAATTTTAATCAAGATATCAACATAACAATTTGTTTCTTTAAATATATAGTTAATTTTAAGTCTTTAAGCATACACCAATAGTGTTAATTAAAAAAATTAATTACGTTTAATTACTTTCTTATAATCAACTTCAATTGATAAGCAATTCAATCATCACAACAAGCTTTGAGGCCAATAAAATAGCCCATAAATAATTTTAGGTGCTAAATTAATTAATTATTTAAACTAAACAATAATGTAATATTTTATTTTCGTAATATTTTTATTATACTCATTCATTCATCACTGAATGTTCGGTACCCTAATCTAAAGTTTTCAAAAATTAAAATAATGGAACAGTGGCGAGTTAGCATGTGAAGAAAAACTCCACATGTCACATCGACACATCGCAATCAATGTTAATTAATTTAGAAAAATCTGGCCACCTACCAAAACACAGCTTAGTTTCAGAGTTTAGTTTGGGTAAAATGACCATGCAACCCTTTCAATTTTAACACCCACATAGATCCATCCAATTTCAACAAGGAATTCACTTCAAAAGCATTTTAAAAACTAGCTAATTTTGAAATTATCGATAAAATAGAAGTTTTTTTTTTTTTCTAAAATGAATAAGTAAAATTGTAAAAATGAATTTACTATAGTTAACTCAATGTGTATTATGTCTTTAACTCACTATAATTTGAAAATAATCTATTTTATTCTATAGTTTGTTTGGATGACATATAAATAAGAGGTAAGGAAAGAAACAGTAAAGAAGATAAAATTTTCCATTTGAACAGTAGTATCAAGGAAAGAGAGAGTCCGTACAATTAGGGTTTTTTTATTTCATTTTTTAAAAATTACTAAAAAATATAAAATAATATTTTAGGAAAATATTATAATAAAAAATTATAAAACATAATCTTAATGTTTTATGAATATTTTATCATAATTCAATTATTTCTTTTTACTCTATTTCACTTATCCAAATAAAAAAATATTTCTTTTTTTATTTATTTCAATTCATCTAAACATTAAATATTTTTCACTTTATTTCTCATTCTCTTCTCTCTTTTTTTTTCTTCATTGTTTCACCTTTCATCCACATGGAGTCTTAAAGTCAATTTAAGTTTAAAAAATAAAAGTCTATTACATTGTTTTATAAACTTGTTCCACTAAGTATATGCTTGACTAATATTCCAGAATTCCAAAATTGTTGAAAGTACTTCAGTGTATATGGTTTAAAGGAAAAAATAGGAGCAAAAAAAGGTCCTTTTATTTAGTTTGGTTCAAGAGGAAACGATGAAATATAAATAAGATTGTTATGCCTTCATAAATAGTAATGGAAAAGATGAAATGTAAAATAAAATATTGGAACAATCTAGTCTATAAAACTGTTTTTAATACCCTCCAATATGGGAAGGGAGATAAAATTAGGAAAAATATTTTAGCTCCCTCATTTCCCCTCCCCCTACCCTACAAATTTCTCTCATTTTTCTTCAATCATAACATGCTTTTAGAAATGCTAAGCACAATGTTATTAGTTGAAAACAGTTAGAGAACACAAAGTAAAGAACTATAATGATTTTTTTCAGAGAAATATCGGACATTTAAACTTGACAAGATCATCAGAAGAATGATGAGCATGCAAAATTTCTTGATCCCCATCCCACCCTCATGATTGCCAAGGTTGCTGCTTACACTACACACAAGAGCAACCTACATTTGGCAAAACTGAATAAACAATTCATATTATGATCACCAGCTTCTCCTTACTGAAAGAAATCATTATACTGCTACTACCTATACTTGATTTCATCCTCCCCTCTCCATTCAAAGTTGGATTGAGGCCATTACTTCTAAACTTCCTAACAATATATACTCAATACCTTTGGCCATAACCCATAGAACTCATTCTGGACCTAATATTATTATGTTCATACAGTGAATACCCATAATCCACAGGCTTGATAACCACAGACTCCTGCTTCTTATCCTGTTCTTGCACTGCCCCAAACACTATCTCATTAGTCGTCTCATGATTCTGCTCATAGTAAGTATGAGGAACTGATGAACGGTACTGATGGCGATGATGGTATTTTTGTTGCTGCTGCTGTTGTTGCTGTTGAAGATCTCCATCCCATCCACTATAGAATGCTCTACTTTGCCGTAATTGTTGCATTTTTTCTGCATCCTTGGACATGAAAGGGTAAGTTTTTCGAGGGGTTGGGGCTCTTGTGTCAATAGAAGGTGGCTCATCTTCATCAGGAATCACAAAGCTTTCTTGCACAGGCCAGGCATTTACTTGCTTCTGAGGTTGTTGAACCAGTGGTTGTCTTTGAAATTGGTAGCTCTGTGGTTTTCTTCTGAAAGCAGGAAATAATCCTCCCATTATCTCTACCATTGATGCACCAGCGTTGGCAAGAAGCTTTCCAAGGGATCCAAAGAAGCCTTCTTCCTGCTTCTCAGGTTCATATTCTGATGGAATTAAAGGAGGCCTGACCAATTTCAAGGGCTTTTGATATGGACCTTGAGAAACAGATGATGTTACTGTTACTGGAACCTGATCCTACAAAAAAAGCATGGGATGGATTATTGACTGATTTTATGAATGCACATTTGTCTTAGTAAGTTAGTATCATAATGCTATGGTTGCCATTCGTTCATTTGCTAAGGATGAAAATGAGCAAACACTCACATCCTGAGATGCTACAATTGTACCAAGCCGGCGCTGGAGCAATGCCAGCATATAACCAAAGAAGCCAGCCCCAACAAGCACTGCAATCCCTGTAACATTGAAGGCAATCAGTCTAAATTTCTAAATAACATTTGATGGAATTCCTACAGAAAGAAAACTGATGATTTAGTTTACCAAGTGGGAATCCACTGCCATATTGATAGGCACAATCATCGAAGTGCAGTTGAATCTCCCTGATGGCTCGGTTTCCTCTGTCTATAATGAGTAATGAACAACTACTTCCAACATAAACCACATCAAAGTCATCAGAAAATTTAGCTTCTTCACTCGGTCCATCAACATGGCCCCCTCCACGGCTCCATTTTCCTCCAGCAATTGTTGTGACCCCTGGAATAGAAATCTTCTTCAATGAAAAGTTCCCACACTTGACTCTAATGTGAGGTAACAGTTTTATAATCAAAGATTACAGGCACTACAGAAGTACAAACACACCATATTTGTAAGTTGTCTGTATTTCTAAGAAGGAAAAGTTTATGTAATCATTTAGGTACAAAGCATAGACATGCATGAAAAAAAGTATCACCAAGAGGGAGACGAGGATGAAAGATTATTCTACCTGAATCACTAATTTTCCTAATTGCCATATTTGTAGTATCTGCTACATAAATATTTCCTCGGTCATCAACAGTTATCCCCTTTGGATGGTTCATCCTTGCCTCCCTGAGCTTCCCATCAACATGTCCAGAATATCCTTCAGCCGACCCTGCCACCAGCTTTGGTCTGCTGTCTGCATAATTGCAATGAACATGATCTTTCTCAAGTGCATAATACAATATATGCATGCAAGGAGTTCAACTGTCACAGAAATTACATTATAAAGAGAAATCCCAAAAGAACAGTTCAAAATGCATCTCAATCATGTGATGCATCTTCATTCAACTCATAATCTTAACTAAGTTGGCATGATGTCGTGTGACATAATCTAACAATTAGATATGTAGAATCACATTGAATCAATCAACTGTTTCCAATCCCACATCTATGTTGCAAAAAGGAGTTGAGGGGGAAAGACAGAAAATGGAAAACAAAATGACAGGTGCCAACTCATTTAATTTTTAGACAATGAAACAGTGTAGAAGATTGATGTTAACAACACTTTAGGCTATCCAAAACTGATGGAATGGAGAATGTAGGAATATGCCAAAAGAATTATGTGGCAACGGTAGGCTCCCACCTTAGACAGTATCTGACCTGACATGAATGGTCTAAAAATATTGTAATTAAACTCCTAAAGGGAGATGGGTGCAGTGAGATACAGCAAAACAAAACTTTTATGATGTTGCATTGTAAGAATGAAGGATTCTACTTCCTTGGAAAAAGAAAGTTTTGTAGCTCACAAGCTCGTGAGCTGTAAATCCTATGTAAACACCAGTCCACGTGATGCAAGGGAGTCAAAATGGCAACAAACTAGCTATGCCTAAACTAGCTAATCATCATTCCAAATCCAGCAAAAGGCAGCTGACCATCAAATTTTCCATAATAGAATCAAACCTCCAAACTCCAAAAAGTACAATGTTTCCTCTATTTTTCCAAAATATAAAAATACAAAACAAAAACTAAAGTGAATTAGCCAATAACTCGATACCGCAAGCCATCATCAATCACATTGGCACACTTACACAAAGAAAGCGAGGATGAAATCCTATAAATGTTGCTATTTGCCGAATCAAGAATGAGAAGCTCCCCGTTGGGTAACACCTCCACAGCATAAGGCTCAATCCCAAGCTTGCTTCCATCAAAAACAGTCTCCACACTGTACCCACTCTCGAATTTCATCATCGACCTGCTCGAAACCGCTGCAACAAAAACCCACATTCAAAACCCACCAACACCCACAAGACCAAAACCACACGAGAAAACAAAAGCAAAACCAAAAACCAAACTTGTTCAGCATTGCGACAGATCCATACCAGTTTTGGTGGTAGGCTTAAGTGACCACACCCATTTGGTGAAAGCAGGCACAGCATTGGAAAGAAGCCCATTAACAATTTCTGAAAGCACAAAGAAAAGAATGAGCCAAAGAAGAGAACTTGGATCAAAATGGAAACAAAAGAAGGAACATAAATGCATGAAACTTACTTGCAGGGGAACTAGTAGATGGTGCAGCTGAGACACAAACAGTGACAAATAGGAGGTGAAGAGTGAGACCCAGTAACAAAATCTTCTTACCCATTTGATCCCAAGTGAGAATGGTTCTCAGCTGTGGCGTTTGGAGAATGCAAGGTTTCAGCAATGGTGGTGGTGAAAGTGAAACCCTAATTCACTGGTGTGAAAAGCATGAAACTGAAAAGAAAGCAAAGAAAAAAAAAAAAACTTTTTTGGAGTTAATGTCAATGGGGTTTTGGGGTCTTAGCAGAAAGAAAAGCAAAGAGAGTGTGTTTTTGAGTGAATGAAAAGAGGGAATGAAAAAGGCACAAAGAGAGACAAGGAAAGGTGTAGTGAGTAAAATAACAATGGTTATTAGTGGGACAGTGTTCTAGACAGAGAAAGAGAGAGGGTCCCATTAATTAATGTCTTAAATTTGATTTGTAATAAAATTAATTTATTTTTCTTTTTCAGAGTGTAATTTTGATTATTTAGGATTTTATGTCGACCATGTGAATCTACGTAACTAACAACAACCAGCGGCACCACCGCATATATTCTGTGTTTCAAATTTATGCACTTATCAATAAATAGTGTAAAAAATTGATGGAGATGAACGTATAAGATTATTAAAGTTGTATCTTATTTATTGGGGGTTTGAAACACCCCATCAACACCAATTTATTATATAAAGACCTTCCTCTTGAGTTTATTTTCCTCGTCGTTATCATCCTATTTCTATAATACAATTATGTATTATAAAATATTAAATGCTTTTTTTTCCATAAAATTGATTTATAGTATTTAAATGTTGAGACTATGACTAATTAGATGTCGATTTTGAGCCAATTTTCTCCAATTCGACTTTATATTTATATTTAATATTTTGGATGAATTAGTTTTTGAGTTAATAATTAACGATTATATATGGACAGATATAAATGGTAACGAGCCTTTTGAATTAAGACTGATTTTTGGACCTAATTCTAAGATATTTTTGTAAATTAAATATTAAAGCGATACTTAAAATTACGTATTTACAATGAGAAAAATAAAATAAACTGTTGACTCAATTATGTTAAATTGTTAATACATTATTCATAACTCAATTATATTAATACTTATACATGTCATAAAGAAATAAAAAATTGGCAGAAAATAAAACTTAATTTCAGAACTGTCTCAACGTTAAGAATGCATCATTTTAAGAACATTCATTTACCTAAGACAAATAGCAAAACTAAATAAGAATACAAGTTTAATGTTCAAATCTATAATAAAGTTGGAGATCAAAATAGCAAAGTCAAGTCATCTTTCTAAAATAAAAAGACAATTCTTCTATTAGACAATCAGAAACCACTCCCTAACAGCTTACACTTGGGACATAAGCCAACTTTTAAAGATAAAATTTATTAAAATTACCTTATTTACTTTTTTACAAGCTTCATCATAATATATTATATTTTAAAATTGACCGATGATATATCACTTTAGAAATAAATATAAATTAATTAAAATTTCTTTATAAACGTAAATTTTTTTCAATTCAACTATTAAATTAAAAAAAAAAGTCCATAAAAGATCATATAAATCAAAATCTAATAAAAATTTCATTAAATTTTTTATTTTAATATTTAATACAAATTTAAAAACATAAGTTAATATTAATTATAAAATTATATATTTATAAATGATTAAGTAATCTAAATTATGATTTGCATAAACATATATAAATAACCTTATTTAATAGTTAAATTAATAAAATTTAATATCTATAAAAAAATATTAAATAAAGTAACTCATCAAAATTATTTTTGAAATAATTTAATCCTTACCCTTTTAATTCAATACAACCCATATCAATATTTTAGCAGATTATCTGCGTAAAAATTTCTCTAAGTTATAATATCAAATTCTAAATCAGCCACTAATTATTGTCACATTATTAATTCATCATAAATGTAACGTATTAGGTGAATCTCTCAGCTTCTTCTCTTCTTCTTCAAGTTATCTATTTTCTTTCCTTCTTTTTGCATTTATTTTTGTAGTTTCAGACTATTTAATAACTCTTTCTCTTAATCTTCCTTTTGTTATTAACAATTAAAACAACTTCATTCTTTTCATTTCCTTAGAGTTGATTTTTTTAAATCTTTTTTTATTAACTATCAACAACAGATCTTATTTTATTTTTTTCCTTTAACACATATATCAGTTGTTTACTTTACAGCCCTTCTTCAATCTTTATTATCAAATTACCACAACTAATATCTATACAGTTATATTAGTCTAATTAATTTATTTTTTTTAATGAATTTATTATTAGTTTTAGTCATAACTTTTTTTTAATATCTTCTCATAAAACATGAAAAACAGAAGTGACATGCGTATTTGCTCGAGATGACTATAAAAGTAATCAGTTTACTACCTTAATTTAATCGCGTACGATTATTATTATTGTTATTATTATTATTATATGTTTAAATTTATTCTTTATTTTCCTTTGTTTATCAGTAAACTTCCTAAATACTTAAAATAAAAAATAAATAAATATTTTATAAATTAAATTCAACTTATGAAAATTAAATTCTGAAAAAGTTAATGAACAGGCGATTATTATTATTATTATTATTATTATTATTATTATTATTATTATTATTATTATTATTATTATTATTATTATTATTATATGTTTAAATTTATTCTTTTTTTCTTTATCAGTAAGCTTCCTAAATACTTAAAATAAAAAATAAATAAATGTTTTATAAATTAAATTCAACTTATGAAAATTAAATTCTGAAAAAGTTAATGAATAGGAGAACAAATTCTAAAATATACAAGAGTATAAGTTAATTTTAATCAATATATAAAATTTATTTTATTTTATGTACTTGTTTTTGTCTCTTATAAATGTTTATTGATTAAAAAATTATCTAACTTAAATAATAATAAAATAATATCATTTTCATGTAATCGATCTCTTAAAGTATTTGTTTTTATTTACGTATATTAAATATAGAAATTATTTAAATCATTATTTTGAATTATTTTCCATGATAAGTGGTTATAATCTATATAACAAATCTTACTGATAAATACTAACTGTACAATAAAAGAAAATTACTCTACTTGCATCGTGCTATTATAATAATGAAGTTATCAAATAACATGATGAATTATTTATATCAACCAACCTCTTAAAATGTGGAAACTAAATACACAAATTTTCTGTGCACTGGATAATGATATATATGCATGCATATGCCAGGTTGGTTTATTGAAGTGTCTGTATAACAGCATTTTTCTAAAAAAATACATGAATAAATATTCAAACTCATCCCTCAAAATAAAATATATCAGAGAGATTTTAAAACCTAACTAAAGTAATGTAGATTTTAAAAATTCTAAATATGAGAAACTTTAACTTTAATATTCAATGGGTGAAGAGATTAAAATACACATTTATAATTTTAAGGGATTATTTAGTGAAATTTTTCCTAAAAACTAAATTGAGTATTTTTTTCACTAAATATAAATACATTTTAATCATCTCCATGCATGAAAAGTACTTGCTAATATGCCACATTAAGAATTTCTATAATGTTTTTTTTTTCTTTTTATATAATATGATTGCATGGAAGGTATTTTTCAAAAGGCAGATGTAGAAAACATAATCTAAGCATACATTACAAGCTAAGATTTCCAGTACTCCCTTGTAAGCTGACAGCAGATGGAAATGAATTCAAGTATCAAATTCTATTATACAACCTTTCATAAATGAAATTGCTTTTGTGGTCCTGCCAGCATTCAATGAATAAACAAGGTACGGTCACTGTCCCTTGTTACTTTCTTTCTTCTGTTTTTAGTTTTGACTAGTAGTGGTAACTAGGGAAAAATCTCTTGGGGCAAGGAATGATGATTAGCATGATGATTAATTTGTAGAATCACAATGTATTATTACCATCCATAAAAATAAAATAAAATTGTTTAGCATCTTTGTGTTGATGTGTGTGTAAGAGAGGTACGATGAAGCATGAGTATTGGTTAAGGACACAGCAATAATCCATGAAAGATTATTGTAGTTGTGAAGGCCAGGCTGCACCTGCATGATGCTGACAATGTGTATTGGCTACCACTTATCAAACTCTATTCATCAGAGCAAGCTGGCAATGATGCCATGCCACGTGATGAGACTGTTGCATGGCATAAAGCATTGCATCTATGATCAGATTTGACCAATTTTTATAATCTTCTTCAAAAGTAGAAAACAAGGAGTAACAGTGCAAGACAAACGTGGCCAATTTTCTATTCCTTTCTGAAACAATCAACAAGGAACACTCTCCTTCCTTCCACTCTTCCGAAAGCATAATTTTCTGGCAAATACTCAATGCAAGAAAACAAAAGCATAAGTTTGTTCACTTGTGTTGTGCGAGCAAGTTTATCAAGTGCATATGCAATTCTTGATAACTTCATATAAGAAAATAATAAAACTATTTTAAATGATAAAATGAATTGAACTTTTTGTACAAGTTAAAATTAACTCGTATATTTTTTAACTTAAAAATTATTTATTTAAAATTAAAAAATATTAATTATAATTTTTTAGACTGAGTTTAAGTAATTAATAATAATAAAATTTTATTAAAAAATTTATTACATTTTTATATTATATTTTTAAATACTTAACTCAATCTTATATATTAAAGTTAATAAAACCTAAAAAATAAAATAATAATATAAATTAAATTAAAAATTATTGTAAATTAAAAGTTAATTCAAACTTACCCCATGGTTTTGGAAAAAAAAATCTGGTCAAAACATGCAGCCCAAGCCTGCAGAGGTTCTGGTTATCCCAAGATATATACCACTAGGTTGCATTCACAACCACTCACAGAGCATTCATCATTTCAAGTAGACTAGTACATTACATCTAATAAATTCAGCTACTTATTTTGGGAAAATAAGGATGTTCAAGTACTAAGGCTCAACCTTCTCATTAGTAGCAGACAAAAAGGAAGCAATGATTCTTTGTTTCTCATTTTAAAAACAATCAAAGTCGGTGAGAATGTGTACATCTTTGCACAAAGGGGGATTTCTTTTTATGTCTAGCTAGTTACCATTAGCTCATTCACTTTTTCATTCCTATACCTTCAAGTACAATTTTAATGAGAACAAAAAATGCCATGAATCTATCACTAGACACTAGGTGTAGCTTATACAAATGACTCTTGGGATGTAGGTACGGCTACATGATCCAATCCATTGGAAAGAAGTAAAAGAATCACTCAACCTAAACTAGTGTGTTATTCGTCTTATAGTATAATGTCCTTTTGTGGTGACAAATCCAAATAAACTATTCTATATAAACGGCCATCATTGCCTTGCATGGATTTCAATGATAAGGTGATACACAGGTTTATCACTACTGCTAAGAATATGAGCTTTGATATTTGGGTAGCTTTGGTAATAAGATGTATGGCACAGATATTTTGTCCCTACCACAAGACCAATAACTGAATTCATGGAATCATGATAAATTTATGATTTTTTTTTTTGTCAACGATAGGTTTATGACTTGTAAGATGTATTGGACCATGGCTAGCTATTTTATCCCTACTAGTACCACAAGGTCTATTAATAACTGAATCAATTCCTTAAGTATCGAAAAATAAACAATAAAATCAAAATTTTTATAATTTTTATAAAAATAAAATCAAAATTCATAATTTAAAAAAAAATCAAGAGGAAGAGATTGGATTCTAGGAGTCAAGTTCATGAGCCACTTTATATAATTATCGGAAATAATGTTTGATAATAGATTAAGACAACATATTTGCATGATAAAGAATTAATTTAATTTTGTAAAGGAACAGCAGAAAATGTCTTACTCCATCTTATACTTTGCTGAGAATTTAGGGTATATTCAAATAACAACTTAAAATTAAGCATTTATTCAATAAATTTTAAGAGTTGATTTGGTAAATATGATAAGATAAAGAAATTAATAATATATAATATATAAAAGTATGACAAGTTCTTATCTTATCCTACGTTTAATGTATATCAAAATAGTAAAACACAACATTATGTCATTATTTTTTAATGTTTGAAATAAATAAAATATAAATTATATTTAAATGACAAAATTACTCCTTCATAAAAAACTTTTACTTTTCTATATGTGTATATATTATAAAATTTTAAAAATATTATTATGTACATATAATATTAAAATTTGATATTAAATTATAATAATTTTATTCAATTTTTTTACAATTATAATTTATTTTAGGGTAAAAAATTATATTATAATTCGAACAAAACATTATAAACAGGTTTAAAATATGTTTTACATTTTTTTAATATTCTTAAAAACATTATAGATTTTTTATTTTTTATCAAAATTGTTCACATTTTTTATAAAAATATTAAAATTATATTTTTTATAAAATATGAAAAACTATATTACGTATAAGTAAGAATGTAATAGAAAAATAATTAACATGTCGTACTGCTTCCTAAGTCCTAATTCATTACTCTCCCCAAAATAATAATTTAAATTATAATAATAGAATATAGTAACTTAGTAGGATAAATTCTATTAATTAACAAACACCAAAAATAAGATATAAATTTTATGTCTTATCTTGACCATTAAAATGTGTCCTTAATTGCATAAACTAAAATTTATTTTAGTGAATTATATATATATATATATATATATATTTTATTCTTTTATCAAATAGTGGAACCAATTTAATGGGAATTATGCAGGACCTTTAAGAGTAAATAACTTCTTCGAGTTAAATTCTCAATTTCTTAGAATATCTTATTTAAATATTTTAAAATTTCTTAACTAAAAATCTTAGATTGTAGCATTCTTAACATATTACAATTCAAAAGAAATTCTGAAAAATAATTTAAAGGATGTTCTTCTACTATTACAACAAGATGAGACACATTTATCATCAAAAAAAGAATTTAAAGATATATACTAAAATAAAAATAATTGCTTCAAAATAGATCTTTAAGATTTATAACTTGTCCTGTTGCAAATAGGTCATGTTAATCAACTAGAAACGTAAAAGTGGTATTTTTTTTTTTTAATTTCTATAAAAGGAGTTCTCATTAATATAATTTCAGTAGTTATATCTTGATGGGTCAAAAGGTTAGGAGAACTTTTTGTAAGAGTTCAGATTTTTTTCTAAATTCTTTTAGAGACAATACTTTGAGAATTTGTATGGTTGAATGAGTAATAATTAATGGATTTTTTTAATTTTTATAATGTTTAATAAAAATTGAATCTAAATCTATTAAAACAAATTCATAGAACTGCTTAGTTTTACTTAATGTTAAAGGTCTAAAGTGAATATATATATATATATATATATATATATATATATATATATATCTTTGTTCTTATATTTTAATTTTAATGTCTTCATTTTTTTTAAAAAAAGGTTGTAACGTGTTAAATCTTAATGTCATGCCTCAATTTTTTAGATACATCAAGAAGAAAAGGACCAAAAATATTGATTTAAAAAAATCAAATCTAAAATAAAAATAAAAAATAAAAACTGAAATAAAATTTTCACTACATAAAAATTTAAAATATAGTAAGCCTTATTTGCAAATTGGATATGAGCAACACAACGACTCTATAATTCAGTTAATCCAATATGACATTTTCAATTTTAAGCTTAATTTTCTTGTAAACTGTAAATTTAGTTAAATAACATTTTCTGCCTATTTTTAAATAAGTTGTATAGTGCCTATAAGTGACTCCTCTTATAAGTTTCTTTACTTTTAAAAATTATGTTCAACTCCTTGTACGTGATCAAAGAAATTATAAAATAAATTTTAAAAGTTAATATTATAAATCAAATGAGATTTAAAAAATATATATTTTGCTGTAAAACCATAGTAAAACCATATTTTCATCACAAATTTATCAAGCAATTTTATACATTTAAAAAGTTTTTTTAATATACTATCACCAAACATATATTTTTCTGAAAAATAGTTCTTGAAAATTATTTTGCAAAATAATCTTAGAAAAAAAAATGAAACACAATTAAACACATCCTCTCTCTTTTCCTTTTTAATTTCTCCAATGGAGAATAATTAAGAACTTGTAATGTAATAAGAGCTTGAATTTTATTTATAAATTTGATGCTTCACTTCTTCCCTTCTTACTTATTCAATATAGGACTAATATAAGATAAGTGAAATATTAATATATTATAATATTTTTAATTTAATATTTATTTATATGATAAATAAATTTAACTATTTTTAAATGTTTCAAAAATTTCTCTTGATTTTAGATGTACATTTAACAAGTATTACAAACAATGTTTTCTTATTCACTGTTACATAAATGTACATGAGGTGTGTATCTGTGTGAATATATGAAAGTGAAATAAGTACTTTTGGAAATTGTACAATTATACATAAAATCGTTAATTTTAAAAATCAATAAAGTTACATCGTTAGTTATAAAAGTCACGTAACACGCACATTAAGTTTAGTCGAATGCGAGTGTTGTTCTTGATCAACTTTCTTGGATTTGTTTATAACTGGCATCACCTCCTACACATGTAAGTCAAAGTCAACACTAGTAAATGATGCTTTTGAATTTAATAAATCCATATCATATTTAGCTATTTTTTCAATTTATTTTCACCCATTTTCAATATAATATTTTCTCTTTTCACCAAACACTATTTATAAAGGAAATTACTGATAATTTAATATCACCAAACATATTATGGAACTCTTTTCTCTTCTTTAATACAAATACAAATCTCGTAGGCTTTGCCTTTAGTATTGTTGAATGTATATCAACAAGTGAAAGAAATTTGTTGCTTCATGTTTTTTTTTTTTTTCTAACTTCTACCATTGTCATAACTCTGAGCTCAGGTTACAATGATAAAGTGTCATATACTCATTTTCATTCTCTTTCTCTTTGTTCATTTATCAACAAAGCAATTGTTCTCAAATTATTACTCATTTACTTATTGTGGTTAAAAGAAAATTGTTCTAAATAAATTGTAATTCTTAAAAGATTTATTTGCTTTTTTTTTTTTTTTTATCTAAGCCTTTACTTTTTATTGTAATATGAAATCTTAACATTTTATGTAGAATTCACCCAAATTGTACCATTCTAATTTAAAAACCAAATGCAAACAAGTTTGCTTGAACTTTTTTGTATTTTTGTTTGCTATTCTACCTCATCTATAGAGAATTATGAGTTGATATATGAAGACTACTGTTATTGATTGCCTTCAAAGATCGATGAAATTCTTTTAATATATATATTAAATTTATTCAGAAGTAATTCAAGATTGGATACATTTATAATGACAAAAAATACAATTGGTTTCATCCAACAATTCTTCGAAATTAATAACTCATATACACTCACCAACACCTAACACAGCACTTTGATTTATGAAATTTGTTGCTAAAATATCGCTATTAAACCCGAAACTTTCAGCGGATCTTCCGACGAATCGTTAGTAGTCCACGTAAAGAAATCAAATAGTGAAAGGAGAACACTACTAACTATTCCAAAAAATAATTAGAAATTAAAATGTATTGTTACAAAGTTTAATAAGAAAATTAAATGACAGGTCCAAATTGAATAACAGATATATAGTCTGAGAAAAAAAAACATAAGCGTAGAATAAATTATTTAGACAGAAAATTGACTTTACCCAAATATATATCCCATTAATTTAAACTCACTTTCATTTGAGTTGAATTCTATAAAATCATGTTAATCCAAATTTAATTCTACAAACCATCCAAACACACACTTAACCGCCCACAAATATTTGCTTTTCTACGCAAAGATTATCCACCAAGTTGGAGAAGAGATATCAAACCAGATTGGCATTTTGTATTGTAAAAGAAGTATTGTAACTATACAAGTTTTGGTGCCCCCTTGTTGAGTGCAAATAGCGATCGAGTCTAACAATTCCAAGCAGAACTAAAGCTCTCGGTGGCACCAGCAAATATAACAATTGATGTTACCATGTACAAGAGAAGAATTGTCAGACATCCATGAACCGCACTATTTAACAAAAACATTCCAGATACCTTGCAAACCGGTTCAGGAGCCCAAAAAGAATCAGATCCGCAACAGCAAGGTCGCACCATATGTCAGGTTAAGATTAATAACCAAAAATTTCTGATTCACATGAGAAGAATCCTCGACAAGTAGAGCAGCACTATGAACGAATAATGCTGTCTAACTCAAACTGTGCTCTCAAAAGAGACCTGGAATTGGGGAAGATGCCTGGGCTTTGGATTAGATGAAGCAGCAAGGCCCTGAAGCAACTTTACTACATCAGCAGCATCATCAAGAAAATACTTGGCCTTGCTAGGCTTCCTACCAACAGTGCAGGCGAAGATCTCTGGAGCTGATGGTAATGATGGGCACGAAACTGTCCTCAAAATGCTCTCAAACATGTCCTCGTCAGACCTATCATCTCCAATGCAAAGTACAAAATCTGGTGGATTACCACCATTAACCATGCTCAAAAGAACCTTTTCAGCCACCAAACCTTTGCTTATTCCCTACAGAGAGCAAACCAATGCTTGATCAAGACCATTCCAGCCTAAGTTTCACATTGAGGAAAATGAGGGGAAGGGATTCGAAAAATACCTGTGGCTTAACTTCGACAATATGCTGGCCTCTCTTAACAACTGCTGGTTCATTAGCAAGCACACTTTCCAAGTGATCCAACAATTCTTTGGCTTGGCAAGAACCAAAATCAGGGTCTGCATCTTGATGATGCCACACCAAAGCACTTTCCTTAGTTTCAATATGAGATCCATCTGTTGCTTCTGTGTACAACTGCATGACAGGTTCCACTATATTTTTCCAGTCAAGGTCTGCAGCCAAGTGACTGGTTTCCCATTCTGAATCTCTATTCCACCTGCAATCACAAAAAGAAAGGGAAATTTTACCTTAGTGTTATACTTTCTTTTCTGCAAAAGGGGAAGGGCATAGAGGAGATACAGAAGTGCACGATCTTCATAACAGTAAAATGACAAACCTTAAAAAGTATCCATGTTCAGCTGCAAGTCCCAGCATTTGGCATGAAGTAAACCAATCACTCAGTGAATCTTTTCCCCTCCCACTGACAATAAACACAATATTCTTGGGATCATTACACAGAGCATTTAAGACCGATATGACTTCAGGGCTGGGGATTTTATTTATTATAGACGATTGTGGTACAACTGTACCATCATAATCAAGAAAAATGGCCCTTCTATTGGTTCTCTTGTATGCTGAAACAATATGGTCAATTGACAACTTTCTAAAACCATGAGAAAGTGAAACAACTCTAAAACCCAAGCCCAAACCAATCCCCCAGCACCTTTTGGTGTAATGATCTTTGCAAGCTCTCTCCAAATCCTGCATAAAACTTCGTGCCCAATATGCCACATCATGAGAGCTGACATACCGATAATGTTTCTCGTGGCGCAAATGCTTCTCTGAATCACTCATTGTAAGGGCTGAATTCAGAGCATCAGCCACAGCATCTATATCCCAGGGATTGATCCTGATTGCCCCACTAAGCGAAGGTGAACAACCAATGAACTCAGACACAACAAGCATGCTTGTATGAGAAGAATTACTTTTTCTACCTAATGCTTCATCCATTTTTGCAGTTCCCTGCCTGCAGACAATATATTTGTATGGAACTAAGTTCATACCGTCCCTTACAGCATTGACAATGCAACATTCAGCTACAGCATAATAGGCACTCTTCTCAAAGCGCGGAACAGGGCGGTCAATCAGAATAACTGGCTGATATTGATTTGAACTATATGTATCATTGATCCTCTGGGCAATTAAATATGTTTCCTTCTTAGCTTCTTGAACATCCTTCCCTAAGCCCCTTGCAGGATTTACAATTTGAACTAATACAACTTTGCCCTGCAAATCTGGATTCTGCTGCAGCAGCTGCTCCACAGCTAGAAGTTTCAGACTGATTCCCTTAAAAATATCCATGTCATCGACACCAAGAATTACTTTTTTACCCTTAAACTCTTCCTGTACCTCTTTCAGTTTAGCAGATGTAGAAGGAAGATTTAATACAGATTCAAGCCTACCCATGTGAATGCCTACTGGCAAAATTTTAATAAATATAGTGCGACCAAAGTAATCAAGGCCTATATGTCCTCGCTTGGATTCATAGTCCAGACCTAGCATTCTACTGCAGCAAGAAAGAAAGTGGCGAGCATAATCAAATGTATGAAAGCCAATTAAATCAGAGTTCAACAATCCCCTCAAGATTTCATCCCTTACTGGTAAAGTTCTGTAAATTTCAGAAGAAGGGAAAGGACTATGAAGAAAGAACCCAAGTTTAACCCGATTATACCGCTTCCTCAAGAAAGTAGGCAAAACCATCAAGTGATAATCATGAACCCAAACAAAATCATCATCAGGATTAATTACTTCCATGACCTTGTCAGCAAATATTTTGTTTGCAGAAACATAAGCCTGCCAAAGCAAGCGATCAAAGCGGTCACCATGGTCTGGGCATATGGGTAGCATATAATGAAAGAGAGGCCAAAGTTGCTGCTTACAAAAGCCAAGGTAAAACCTTTTCTGGAGATCATGGGGTAGAAAGGTAGGTACACAGTTGAAGTCATCCAGCAATCTCTGAGCAACTTCTTCCTGCTCACATGCATCTATTTCGGCCTTGAGGGAACCCACATAAATTACCTCAATATCAGACGAAAAACCATCTTTTAATTGTAATAAAATTGAATCCTCGTCCCAACTGAAGCACCATTTAGCAGTTTCTGTATCTCTTTTAGCCTGCAATGGCAACATGTTTGCCACAATGATTTTTCGCTCCCTACATCCAGAAGAGCTAACATCTGAATCCTCATCATTACAACCATAACCATCCAGGTCAGAAATAATTCCAGGAACAGTCATAACCCTCGGAAGAGCTCTTGGGGTGTGAGGAATATCAAGCAAGTCTCCACCAGCTAAGTCTAAGAGATTAGCATAAGATCTTGAAACCATGACTGGACAAGGGGGCCCTTTCTTCAATCGTTTCTATCAATTCATAAAAAATAATAATAAATATAAAATATTTCCGACAAATATCCTAAAATTAAGGGTCATAGGCCTCATAGGCCTCCAAGTATAAAAAATGACAAAGACTGCATTCCACGTGTTGTCAACAACACTACATATTAGATATGAATTCGCTATAATTCATTTCAGGAACTTTATTAGCTAGGTTCTTGTATAGTTGCAGGAACAAATTACTTTATTAATAGCTATTAATGCAAGTTTTGATGATCAAGGTGGCTCAGATGGTGGAGTGATGAATGATATGCACCAGGGTGTGATGACAAACGAAAAAAGCATGATGTCAGCGAATAACAATAAGTCAGCTAGGAATGCTAACTCTATTGTACATGGATTTATCTGTAGAAAACAGTTAGGCTAACGCTAACTGGTATCGTCATCATTGCCGACACGACAAAATTGTTGTACAAGCATTGATAAACTCTTGATAGCATTAATTTCTTCCCAGGCTTTCCAAAAGAAATGTATAAAAACAAATAAGCAAATAAATAACCATACATGTGAATCAATAACAATAAGGCAAAAATGTAAACTAAAAGTGAACCAATAACAGCAATCATAACATATATGATCATATAATTATTTCCAATAAATGACGACACATTCTCATCTGCTATTCTCCCATTGATGCAGATAATGAACACATTACAGCATGGACATAGAGTGAACACAGAATATGCCTTTAAATTGACACCACACCAGAAAACAGAATCTGCTATTCAGAAACAGAAGACATTCATAGTACAGTTTACATCTCACAAGTGCTAACATGATATTTTCGCAATGCCCCCAGTTATACCAGGAAATTTCAAATGTGTTCATGATAAATATCTTACTAGTTACTACTTAACTGTACATCCAAATATTCAACCACGGCATAAGAAAGAGCAGATGGATTCCCTTTGAAAATGATATTCATTTTGTCTTGTCTATAGGCAGTTAGGCACACAAACAGACTCTATTCCCACAGATTACTAACAATCCCATACACATATACTAATCTGTGGCATTGATTTCACAGTTCAAAGTTCAAACTACATAGCTAGTATAAATCTGAGTAGTTAAGATGTAAGAAGTCTATAGGACTTCCCGGGCCAAGGTCCAAGTTTACAATATGTGTAAAACAGTGAAAACTAAAACCCTCGTTCTGTGTGATCAAATATGATGAACCTCACCACATTCAAATAATTCATAAATGTCTTAAAAACTGCAATCAAAATACTTTATTCTTGAAAAAGTGCTTAGAAGCCCCATCTAGGCAAAGTGCTAAACAAAATCTATTTAACGGAAAATCACACGGTTTAGAATTGTTTCTTAAAAAAGACTTTCCATTTCTAACACCAAAAATTAAATTTAAAAAAAAAAAAACAAAAACTGCCAACCACACAAAGCACTAAACGATGAGCATAAAATACAAAATAAAAAAAAAAATTTCTAAACATAATTTTATTGAGGTCGAAACTGTTAAATGCCAGAACGATGTAAAAATAAAATGTAAAAAAAAATAAAAAAAATCCAAGGTAACAGTAGTTGGGAGACTCGAAATCAAATTCAAGCTATCATCACATTATCATCAAACTTCACGTCAACGACGCTGTCGTTTAACAATTCCCTGCCAAAACACCACACTCACACCCACACATTCACGAACCGAACAAAAAAGCAAACGATCATCCAAACGCGAACGATCGACCGCGTTCGGTTCCAAAGAAAACAGCGTAAAAGGAAAAAACCGTAACTGCAACCACTTCAGAAAACCAGTAACAAGCAATTCAATTCAAAACACGGATCACAAAACCCGAAAAATCAAACGAAGGAACGCACAGAGAAACCTTAAGCAGTCACAAGTCGCGAGTCTCACCTTTCCAGCGACAGATACGGCGAGATTCCGGCGAGGTAACGCAGAGCGATGAGAGAGAAAGTTGGAGGCTTCGATAGAGATAGAGAGAGAGAGAGAGAGAAAGAGAGAGAGAGGGGTCTCGGTTTTGGAGAATGAAGAACAAACGAGAACGGCAACTGCGAGATTTTTCTTTTTTTTTTTTAAATTTATATCTTGGAACTACTGTAGTATACACTGGATAGATAGATTTTTTTAATTAATTAATTAATCTGTGTCTGCTTGACAAGTTGGATAGAAATATAGATAGATAGAGACTCATGTGTCCATTAACAACAACCTTCACTGCAGTTTGCTTTTCTAACCATGGTTCAGTTTTGCTTTTCTTTTTCTTTTTTTTTTTCCAGATTTTTTCATTCACCATTATACCCTTTTCCTATGGTTAAATATTCCCTGAATTTTTTCATTGTTTCCTATTCTAAATATTTTAGTTTATCTTTTATATATACCCCATGTGTGTATTTATTTATTTTAATATCAATTAACGGGGACAAGTGGGGATCCCTTATCCGCATCCTTATCATTAAGTGTGGTTGAATATCTTATTCTAAGTTTTCAAGTACAGTACAGTTCATTTTACCAAAATGAAACACCTACTCCTCAACCAGTGATACAAGACAATTTAATATTATTTAACATTATACACCATTCTTTCATTCAATATATTCTTTACTATACAGCAGGTGTTGCCTCCTTTATGACCTCCTTAAATAATTATCTAATTACAGTCAAATTCATACAACTTGCAGCCTTGTGGTCCTTCTCTGGCTATGCTTCTTTATTTATTTTTATTCTGGAAAAAGTTTTTAAAAGAAACATGTGTATGTTTTTTTGTATAATTTTCATTGTTTATTTCACACATCATGAATGACCTTTCAAAATTCCACGATTCTTGAACACACAAAAGGCCTCATATTGTTCCAGACTTTTAGCAACCCTTCGGATATAGGTCACCATATAAACAGGTGCTTCCCTTTCCATATTAGATAAACAGTCTTTTCTCGCAGATCATAATCACAGCAACTAATCCTTATAATATTAAGAATTAAGGGGCTGAGTAGAAATAATGAATGAGAAGATTGAGAGTGGAAGTAATAAGAGGGGGCAGTGAAAAAGGTGAAATGAAGGGAGTGGTGTTAGGGGGGAAATGGAACTTGGAAGTTTGAAAGAGATGAGCTGGTAGCAAGTAAGTGCCAGCTAAAGGTGAAAAGAAAAGAAGAAGAGGGGATAAGGTACGCGTTTGGATCTCGTCCAAATCCAAGCGCTTGCAACGAGGAAACAAAGAACCCAAATGTTGAGTCGTGGACCGTGCGGGGCTGACTCAGCTCCACGTACTTCCTCCACCCCACGCCACTTCCCTAAATCTTTTATTTTCACACTAACCCCAGTCAAATTAATATTTAAATTTGGATCTTCCTCGTTGCTTTTTTAATATTCCATTATAAATATTTCTTTCAAAATTTTTATAATTTTATGTATTTTAATTGGTTTTAGTTTATTTTATAAACTTGTCTATTTATGTCTAGATTTATATGCATTTTAACTGAACACTTTTTTTTCTCTGAAAAATGCAAATAAATGAACAAATTTAAATAAGTTTCTTTCCTTTTTTTATCCAAAAAATTAATGTACGAGAAAATATGAGTTTAGGTGTATATAATTATTGTTTGGATAAGCACACTACACGCCATTTGATGATTTGAACACCATCACTAACACATTTTCCCACTTTCCACCCGAATTCTCTATGTTACCCTTGCACATCAAAAGCGCTTTTCCTCTTTCCCTATTTTTCATAATTATCACCAAATTTATAAAATTATTTTCGCTCTTGTCTAAATATTTCCATAAAGTGATTACATGGCTATCTTTATGTTCTACCTGTGAATCCTTAGGCTTTATTTTATGAAATTTAAATCAAAATTGGTAAATATATAAAGTATAAAAATTGAACCTTTTTCAAATTACAAATATTTCAGACTTTTTAATAACTAAAATAAATCATATTTTTACTTTATAACCATGAAAGCTTTGTGTATATACATATTGTGCACTTTTAAATATTTATTATTATTATTTAATTATTTTTATTAATTGTTTTTATAATTAGATTATTAAAAAATAAAAATAATAAAAAACACATAAAAAAATCATAATAGATGCTCTCTTGTTAATACATTAAATGTGTACTGAATAAAATGCTTTTTGTACAAAATAAGCTGTTCGCATCCCAAATGAGTTATAATTTTATACATGGAAAGAGGGACAGTTTGAAATGTGATTTACTTGACTCTAGTCACCTTAAAAAGAGGGTAACACATTTGGGTGTAACTGCAAAATTATAGAATTGAGTTAGGGAAACCATAAATCATCAATAAAGAATAATGGCAACTATTAATTAATGTATTTAATATAGTTTTTTTCTACTAGCCTAGTTACCCACTCCTGGGCTACAAAAAGCATTTTTATAATTGAACTATAATGATAAGAGGTTGATGGATTACCACGCTACTAACATGCCGCCATAGGAGGGGACCAGAGGGGAAAATAAAACAACACCTTTAAGCTAGTAGTTAATTTTCAGAAGGTTAATCTGTAACATGGTTGCACTTTAGCAAGCCACCTACTTATATGTTCATTTTTTCAAATATCATATGTACGATTATTTTAAAGAACAACTTTAAAATGCCAGTTAAGAAATATTTAGTATCTTAATTATCAAAATTAAAAATATTTTGTAATTTAACATGGAGTATTATATCTTTTACTTGAGAACTTTGTATTGTTTGTTAACACTGTTTATTTTACAATTTCGTAAAAAGAAAATAGAAAAAGTGGAGAAAAAAAAAACGTATTTTCTTATAAAGTGACCATTGGCGTTAACAAAAATGCGGAGTGGCATAATGGTAATTGAGAGAAACATGGAGGCTCAGAATTGACGTTGTTAGAGGAATCCACCGACCACCAAACTAATGCATTTGGCAACCATTTTCCTCATCTCACAAAGTCCACTCACCCAACCCACGCGCACCCCAACGGTACCAACTGCGTGGTTTGGCACGTAACTGTAACGGTTAGACGGAGCTTCCCAATGACGATCCAAGATCATAATAACATACTTCCTCCCTCAAATTTTACATTTTACTTTCATATTTTTATAACGTTTTGTTACCTTGAAATTAATTTTTTTTATTTAAGTGATTATATGATTTTAAAAAAATAATTTTAATCATTCATATATAATGATATTTTTATATTTATAAATTTCAATAATAATAAATTATTTAAATCATAGAAAATTTATGTATGTAAATTTTATAGAAATATTACAATGATCCATAGTTAAATAAATTAGACATCGTTTTTAATAATAATAAAAAGTTTGTTGAATGTGTCGTTTTAAAAAAAATTGATACCTAATTTCATTTAATCTTAATTTACACATATCGCTTTATATACATAGGTGTGTATGTATATTAAAGTATTATTTAATTTGATAAATTTTAAAAATGAATACATAATATATTTAATTAGCAAAAAAATATATATTCACTGTAAAATACAATTAAATAACTAATTCCAGTTTAGATTTAGGTACAATGCATAATGGATGATTAATATCTAATTCTTAGTTATTACTTAGTAGTTCACATAATGCATACAGTTTATATTTTAAATAAAATTTACATGTGTATAAGTTAGTTTTAAAGATTAAATATTTTTGCATGTGAAAAATGTATGATATAACATTGTATGTTTTATAAATTTAAACTTCTTAGTTTATTGTTTTAATAGTTAAAAAATTAGTAATACATTAAAATTTATATATATTAAATCATGTATTAAATTCTAGGAAAAATTAATAAATAAATAATATTCAGTATGATATTTTATTTTCTATATAAAATATGAAAACATAAAATAAATAAATGACAGTAATAAATTTACAATTGTGAAATTCAACAAATGATCAAGACTAAGATTACCATTACAACCACCAATTTACAATACTGGCAATACATAATATAATCATATTTAAGGAGTCAATTTTATTTGAAATTAGAACTCTTTTCTGTAAATGTTAATAAAAATAATAATATTTTAATAATTTAAATCTATAATTCAATCAATCAAGCAAATTCAATTTTATTGTCCAGAATTAAATATAGCAATATGAATTAATCTCACATAAAATACAAATTACATTTTATTTTTATTAAAAAATTATATTTAATGTATATGAATGTCTGTAAAATACTATTTTTTAAACAAAACAACTATTTAAAAGCTACAAATTCACGTAAAATCTTAAAATTAGCAGTTGTTTTTCTTAGTACATTAAATATAAAAAATCCAATATAAAATATCACGAGGACAGCTCTTAGAGAAATGGTTGTTTAGTTTTTAATATTTGAATAAATTAATTGTTTTTCTTAATTATTTAAAAATGAATAAACAAAATACCGATCTATTCATTATGAATTTGCGATTTGATGATGAAAATAAAAGTGGGCCCCAGGAAGAGTGGTTAGAGGAGAGGAGGAAGAAGAAAGAAGTGAAGCGCGTGGTGGGAACAGGAGGTGAAGGCGATGGGTGAATTGAAGGAGAAAATGTGGGCCCCGCCTTATCCGGTCGCCGCGTTTCACGGAAATGACGGTTATTGGCATTGGCTTTCAGCTACTCGCGCGTCTATGTGTGCGTGTTTACTGCTTCATGCTTATCCAAAACCTCAAAATTGAAATGGAAAGAGCGTTTCCAAATTATGTGAGCTATTCAATGGAATGTTTCAGACGTACCTTTCACGCAATCGCAAAATTCCTTTCCTCTTCTAAATCAAATCAATGCCATTCTCCCAACTCAAATATTTTCCTTATCATTATTTCACTTTTTTTTTTCTTCTCAAATTTTTTCATTTTTTTTATGTACACATATTTAAAAAAATAAAATTTTAATATGAATTTTTTTATAAAATTACAATAATATGAACTTTTGAAAAGAATCACCTAAATACGGAGAAACTTAAAAAATTGCTGCACACGATTTTTAAAGTTGAAAAAAAATAAATGTACCAAAATATATGTCACTGACAACTTTTTTATAAAATAAT